TATTAAATTTTAACGTTCACTCATACTTAATTAATATAATATTTAATAATATAATATTTGAAAATAAAAAATATATATATATATATATAAGACTTTAGCTCTATTTTTGACGGATTAAATTTATATAAAAATGATCAAAAATCAAATTTTACATAAATTATAAGGCAGACAAAATTTTTAATACTTATATGTCATCCAAGTGTAATGAAGTAAAATAACTATTTCAATATCATGTAATTATTGTCCTAAAATTAATCTTTAAAATATTAATGTAGAGTGATACATAATTTCATAAAATTAAATTCAAATTTTAGTACTCATTAACTCAATCCACAAATATCACATATCACATATCACATCAAATAATTTACCCTAAATAAGCGGAGGATAAATTAAATACCTAAAAAAAAACTTTTTTTAATATATAAATCAAAATATCCCTAAACATTAAGATCTATTTAATAGATTTACCTAAAAGTCTGCTTGAAGCAAGCAATTAAAACTTTAAATAGACGATAACTTGAATACGTACCATTATACCAACAAATTATACGACCACTTAATGCAATTAATTTATCACATAAATACTTTAGTTAAGGAATTTATCCAAAAACTTTCCTAACTATCCCTATCAATTCAACTTATATTTTGTAAAATTATGAATTTGTTTTTGAATGTAAGTTAAAAGTATTTTTGTGAGTTTTTCTACAAAAATAGAGAGTAATTTTTTAGTAAAAAAGGTTTAAAAATACTTTTAAATTAACTTATATCCAAATAAAATTTATATTTCGTTCGATTACATATAACTCAATTGACATAGTTTAACAACTTAGGAAAGTAATATGCATATATTTATTCAAGGTAAAATAAATGATTTATTATAACGTCTTCCTGTAAAAAAGGTACATGAAGTAATGAGAGGAGGAAAAAATAAATAATTCAGATGGAAGAACAAAGGAAAATAAAAGATTAAAATAAATACTCCCAGCAAATTGCTATAATATATCATGCAGCTATATTATCGATCACTGAAAGTCAGAGTCGAACTCCAAAGATAACTGCTTATTCAACACATATATATTATTCATTCGGGAAGAGTTGAAATTCATTCAAAGAGTAGTGCATGGTTGGAGGTGGTGGAGAGAAGAAAGGGAGGGATGGGGTTTTGGGGAGTGAAGTGGCAGATGGAAGTGGTGGAATGGTATGAAGAGAAGGGTTAGGCAAAGGTGGCAATGTTACTTTAGGAACTATTGGGACTGATGGCAAAGGTGGCGATGTTACTTTAGGAAATATTGTGACTGATGGCGAAGGTGGGAATGTTACTTTAGGAAATATTGTGACTGATGGCAAAGGTGGCGATGTTACTTCAGGAAATATTGTGACTGATGGCAAAGGTGGCGATGTTGGTTTAGACAAACTGGGAATGCTTCCAAAACTCGGTGTGGTTATTGTTTTCATAAGAGGGCGAGTTGCAAGGCTCATGCTCATGCTTGACAAGGTAAGAGCAAGAAGGAAAGTTGTGATGAATGATTTGCTTGAGGCCATAACGCTAAATGTATTGATTGCAATAGAATGCAGACAAATCCCAAAGTATATGAAAATGCTATGTGTTTGCTTTGAGATTGTGTGAGAAACTGAAGCACAGTGATTGGTCTTATATAATTCAGCTAGAGTGGTAGGTGAGACAAAGACACTAAGATGATATAATTATGTCTTATAATTATGTCTTATGTAAAAGACATGTGAAGTATAAAAGGGTAAATAAGTAAATAATTAAATAATTAAAGACTAAATTATGAATGAGTTTAATAGAATAATTTTGAAGATAATTGTTATTTGATAGAAATAACAATCATTAAAGGATTATAAATATCTATACAAGATCCAAATTCCTAATAGAAAGTATTCTCTCAAATTCTAATCATCACAAAAGATAGAAAGAGTAGAAAAAAGAGTCAAATGAAGTGAAATCTTGAATCTCTTCTCTTCTTAAGAAGACTAAAGATTTCTAAAGATCAAAAGAGATTTTCATTATGGAGAAAGATATATATCATTCCTCATTATTATATAGGTATCATGCATTTCAAAGATCCTTCTAATTTTCTATAATTGATAGTATTAGAAAATTATAAAATTTATATGACTAACTCATACTTTGTATGTAACAAAGATAGAAAAAGGGATACAATTGTATAAATATATTTTAAGTAGCGTGATTTAATGAAAATAGATATAGTTGTTATTTTTAATATATATTATTTAATTTTAATATCATTATATACTATTTTAATTTATTAATAAGTCATATTAATTATAATTTTCATGTTAACATAGTCTGCACAGGCGTAAACTAATCTTGTAGACTTATAGTATGATAATGATATAATAGTATTTTACTAATCTTTGGTAATGTGCTCAATCTCAAACAGATTACTAATTTTTTTTAATAATAGTAATTATTTAGACAAAGAAAAACAACTTTGCCATCGATCATTCACTACAAAAAAATGTGTGATTTTAAACCTCCACAAAATTATTATTATTTTTGGTTGTTTACATTTTCTTGTGGTTTTAGATTGCCATTTCTCGCATTTTCTAACAATTTTAAACCGTCAAAAATACACTTTATTTTACGGTAATTTTTTTTTTATATATTTGGAATTATTTTAAAAGCGCATTTTTATTATAAATTGACAAATAATATTCTGTATATTTTAGACATTTATCAAATTATTATTTAAAATTATCACTAACCATATTAATCATTAAAAATTAATAATGACTATATTATATTGTTATTTAATTCAAGTAACTTATAAATAAAAATTTTACTTGTCAAATTCTAGGATCACTTATTTTAATAAATTATACCTATAATTATAATAATATTTATGTGTTTTGTTAAATCAAACTATTGAATATGAAGTTGATTTTGTTAGAAATGGACTAAAGCCTAATTCAACCCCAAAAGCTAGCACAAGGGGGAGGATTGCCCAAGTCTCTGGGAGTACCTCTATAGCTTGGCTATATTCTTAGTCAATGTTGTATAGATTGTTATATAGATTGTTACGTAGGAGTCTTGCTGCTCATGCACATGATATGAAGCTATTAAATTGAACTGAAAATCGTAGTTGAGAACGGACCGTTCTGGAGGGAGAACGGGCCGTTCTGGTGGGAGGACGGACAGTTCTGTTGGGAGCACGGGCCGTTCTGGATGGAGAATGGGCCATTCCGGAAGGAGTACGGACCGTTCTGGATGGAGA